TTTTTTTAAAAAAAAAAAAAAAAAAGCCCACTCGTGAGGGGATGCACAGCCCATGCTCCTGGCAGCCTCAAGTCAGGAAATCAGTTGTTGCTCTTTGTCCCTCCACATTCTGTCTCCAGCATGACCCCTGGAATCTCCCATGAGAGGCAGGAGGAAAGGTGGGGTACAGGGCCCAAAGCTGGAAACCCCAGTTGGGGTCAAGGCTCTGAGTGTCTAGAGGAGTTCTCTTCCAGGGACATTGCCCAAGAGAGAGCTGAGTGAGATGAGGGCCCGACTCTACCTCAACCTCGGCCTCATCTTCGAGAGTCTGCAGCAGACAGCCCTGTGCAATGACTACTTTAAGAAGAGCATCTTTCTTGCTGAGTAAGCCTGCCTCACTCAGCCCAGGAGGGAGCTGAGTCCTCCGTGTTGGAGGAAGCAGCTGTGGGGCAGGCAGCCTGGCATGTCTGTGCCACATGGTGGGGGAGGAGCAGATGGGCTGCTGGGTCAAGTGGCATCAACAGCTGCACGTCAGCGCTTCAGGTGCCCACTGTGGTGCCTTGAGCACTCTGAGCGCTTGTCACCGCCTGCAGGCAGAACCACCTGTATGAGGACCTGTTCCGTGCCCGCTACAACCTGGGCGCCATCCACTGGCGCCAAGGGCAGCACTCCCAGGCCATGCGCTGCCTCGAGGGGGCCCGGGAGTGTGCGCACACCATGAAGAAGGGGTTCATGGAGAGCGAGTGCTGCTTCCTCATCTCACAGGTGCCCTCTCAGTAGTGAGGGCTCAGCTGTGGGCTGGCTGGGTCCCTGGGGACTGCAAGCCTCACCTCCCTCATCCCCCAGGTTCTCCAAGACCTGGGCGATTTTCTGGCTGCCAAAAGAGCATTGAAGAAGGCTTACAGGCTGGGTTCCCAGAAGCCTTTGCAGAAGGCAGCTGTGTGCCAGACCCTCAAGTATGGTGAGCCTGGAAGGGGACCCTGGGAGCTAAGGGCTCCTCTCCCTTGGCAGAGGGGGCCAGGCATGTGTCCTTGAGGAAGTGGCAGCCCCCACTTCTTGTTGGAAGGAGAGCCCTACTTTTTTCTGAGTACAGCACAGTGTGTTGGAGAAGCCCTGAGGGTGGTCAGGCGACGGGCATTTCCACACAAACCAGCATCTTTGGCAAACTGGAGACTAAAGTTGTCCCCTCTTAGAGTGGACAGGGTACTGATGGGTGGCATCAGCAGCAGCCGACAGTGGTCTACCTTTACTGCGAGCCATCACTGCTCTGAGTTTTCATCTATTAGTTCTTCTAATCCTTGCAACAACCCCATGAGGCTGATTGTCCAACTACCCCCTCCTACCACCGGGCGAGTGGAGGCTGGGCAGGGTGGGTGGCCCATTTGAGAGCACATGGCTAACCGGTGGCAGAGCTGGGCTGGACCCTGTGTTGTGCCATCCCCTTGCACAAAGCTCTTCCCAGCAGTGCTGGCGGTGATCCGGCTACAGCAGCAGCTGGAAGAATCTGAGAGCAGTGACCCTCAGGGTGCCCTGGGCATCTGTGAGCAGCTGGGGGATCTGTTCTCCAAGGCAGGCGACTTCCCCAAGGCGGCTAAGGCCTACCAGAAGCAGGTGCACACCCGGCTGGATGGGAGGGAAGGGACCAAAATGCTCTGGGTCGAAAAGATGTGCAGCAGCCTCACTGTCGCTTCCCCAGCTGGATTTTGCAGAGCTGCTGAGTAGGCCAGGGCCTGAGCTGGCCGTCATCCATGTGTCCCTGGCCACCACCTTGGGAGACATGAAGGACCACCAAGGGGCTGTGCGCCACTATGAGGAGGAGCTGAGGCTGCGTGAGGGTAACGCCCTGGAGGTGAGCAGTGACACCACACATGGGGTCCCTGAATTTGTCCCTATGGCTCTGCCTCAGGACTGCCACTCTGGTGGTGGGTGCAGATGGGCATTTCTTTGCGGAGGACAGCCATCATGGAGCTCATTTATCTTTCTCTTGCTACAGGAGGCCAAGACCTGGCTGAACATTGCATTGTCCCGTGAGGAGGCTGGTGACACCTATGAGGAGCTGGCACTGTGCTTTCAGAAAGCTCTCAGCTATGCCCAGCAAGCTCAACGGCCACATCTACAGGTGTGGCCCCACCCACCCAGCTGGTCCCTTTGTCCTGTGCCCTGTGTCTCCCCACCTGTGGTGGCTGGTGTCCTCATGGCCCTGACTTGGCATCCCTTGCTCCTCAGAGGCAGGTCCTGCAGCACCTCCACACTGTGCAGCTCAGGCTGCAGCCCCAGGAGGCTCCTGGCACTAAAGCCAGATTACAGGAGCTAAGTGTGGATCGGGAAGGCGAGGAGGAGGAGGAGGAGGACCTGCAAGGCGATGAGGACAGCAGCACCCTGGAGGCCAGCGAGCTGGAGCTCTCAGACAGCGGTGAGGCCCAAATGTTGCCAGTGGCCCTGGTGTTTTCTTCCCTGCTTGAGCTGGACCCTGGGCTGCGGCTGGTGAGGGTAGGGCCCTTGTGGTACCTGCTCACAGGCTCGTGACAGGAAACAGCTCCATGCAAGGAGGGTGACCAGTGCCAGTGAGGTGGACAGAGGAGGGGCACTTACAGGGAACCTGGGGCAGCTTTGGAACTTTCCCGGAGGGGCTGATAGGAACTGTTGGGCATCCACAGGGGAGGCAGTGCAGGGTCAGAACTGTGGAAAGGGCACTCCAATGCATGGTCAGCCTTGTGGCAGGTGGACATGAGGGACAGTCTAAGGTGGGCATGAACCTCACGGTCTCAGGGCAGTGGCGGTCAGGGAGGGAGGGCTGGGGCCAGGAGGAACAGGTTCAGTTTTGAACTTGAGGGGCCTCCAGAATCTCTCAGCGTGTGTCCAGGGAACTGTGGGAGGCTTTGGCAGTGCCTAAGGGGTCTGGCTAGATGTCTCTGGGGTGGAGGTGCAGGGAGCCACAGGCAGGGTATGGCGAGAGAACCAGAGACAACTTTAGGCAGTGCTGTTCCACAGACAGTCACAGTGATAAAAGGCTCTAGAATCTACAAGGAACCAAAGGCACAGGAGGGGCAAAGGCAGGAGCAGAGGTGGAGTGGGGTAGTTCAAGGAGCTGGGGTGGAGGCCATAGTGCACAGGTAGAGGGAGCCTGGCTCAGGGACAGGCTGTTCGTAATGGGGTGTGACTTGTTCCAACAAGGATACTTCTCAGGAGAGTGAGGACACTAACCAGAGAGTGGAATCTGGGTGCTGGGCAAGAGGTCAGTGCACAATGGGCAGGGATCAGGTAGGCAAAGGGGCTGGGTGGGGGTGGGCGTGGCTCACCCATGGTGCCGGCTCTGCTCTGCTGCAGAGGGTGAGGCTGACAGCCAGCCCCAGGACCTGGAGGAGGACGAGGAGCTTCAGGGCTGCCTGAGCCGGCGGCAGGTGAACAAGGTGAGGACCTTGGGGGTAGGGTGTACCCTCTGGGGCTCACCAGCGTGGCCTGGTCCCCTTATGTCTCATCCCCCCACTCTGTGGTTACTGTGCCCAAAGTGGAACCGGCGCAATGACGTTGGGGAGACCCTGCTGCACCGAGCCTGCATTGAGGGCCAGCTGCACCGCGTCCAGGACCTTGTGAGGCAGGTGGGCCTGCACCCTATCCCTCTAAGGGGTCTGGCTGGATGTCATTGGAGTAGAGGTGCCGGGAGCCACGGGCAGGGTATGGTGAGAGGACCACACCCTGTAGAGCGTAGCAGGACTTTCGGAGGGGGTACATACACTACCTGCCCCAAAGGGATGGGAAGCAGCATCACACTGCTGGCCCTGCACGGTCCCTGTAGGGCCCTGCCCAGCATTCTGCCTCATGGTGGGGGAGCATCCCCCTCACTGGTGGGATCTGGGCCAGGCCTGGCTGTTCCGTGGGACCCATGGGACATGCTCTGGTGTGACCCAGGCCCTGGCCCTTGGGGCTCTAGAGCCAGGCCATGGGGCACTCAGGGTCAGGCTCCTTCCCATCTTTGGTCACAGGGCCACCCCCTGAACCCTCGGGACTACTGTGGTTGGACACCTTTGCACGAAGCCTGTAACTATGGGCATCTGGGTAAGCACGGGCCAGGGATCTGTCATACAATGGAAGGAGTCTGAGAAGGTTCCTGGGAGCTGGCTCATGTCTCCTATCCCACAGACATTGTCCGCTTCCTGCTGGACCACGGGGCCGTTGTGGATGACCCTGGTGGCCAGGGCTGCGAGGGCATCACTCCCCTGCACGATGCTCTCAATTGTGGCCACTTTGAGGTGGCTGAACTGCTCATTGAACGGGGGGCATCGGTCAACCTCCGAACCAGGAAGGTGAGTGGAGACAAGGGCCAGGTGGGCACGGCCATGGTTGGTGGGTCTGTTCCCACCAGCCCTGCTCAGCTGGGTGCCACACAGGGCCACAGCCCGTTGGAGACACTGCAGCAGTGGATGAAGCTGTACCACAGGGACCTGGACAGCGAGACATTAGAGAAGGCTGGCACCATGGAGAGGCTGCTCCAGGCAGCCTCCTCTGGCCAAGGTAAGCTGGGACCTCCTGCCCCTGGGGACATCACTCCCTAGCCTGAGAGTCTCCTGAGCCTCTCACGGACATTTTCACATGGGTGGCAGAGATATGCCTGGCCTGCCCCATGACAAATTTCATCTCCTCACAGCTCCCCACAGCTCCCTGGCTCCCGAGACCCTCCCAAGTGACCATCTGTTTGACCCTGAGACCTCTCCTTCTTCAAGCCCCTGCCCAGGAACCCCAGAGGCCTCTCAGGCCAGTGCCGGGGTTTCAGAGGCACAAACAATGCCAGCTGTGCCCAGGTCTCAGAGGAGGAGGCACAAGCTAGCCAGCAGTAGCAGCTCAGAGGGCAAGGACAGCCCAGGCCTACCTGGGCCAACCCAGAAGAGGCCTCGGCACTCTGCCCCAGTACAGCGAGCCAGGGCCTGCATGCTTGGCCATATCAGCAATAGGGAAGCGGCAGCAGCTGGCCAGGCAGCCATTCGAGGAGTAGGCAGTGCCCAGAGCTGCTGCCCCAGGCCTGGCCCACCTCGGGGCCCAGGTGAAGCTCCCACCCCCCAGGCAGCGCTGATCCCTGAGGAGGAGTGTCTGGCTGGGGCCTGGCTGGAGGATGACTTGCTGCTGACCCATAGACATCAGGGCTGCCATCCGCCCTACCCCCAGAGCAGTGGGTACAGGACCAGGCATAGTGCCTCGGAGTCAAGCAGTGATGAGAGTCCTGTCAGGCCACGGACCCAAGCCAGGCAGAGCCAGCTGCCCCGTCTCAGGAGTTGGAGTGCAGCGGTCAGAGCAGGTGGAGACTACAGCTTGGCCACAGAGCCCCCACAGAGCCCTGGTGTCCCCAGCACAGACAGCCCTATGGTAGGCCATCCCTCGGTGGGTATGCAAGTCTGGAACAGACCCAGCCTCGAGGGGTGGGGGGACAGCAGAGGGCTGTTTTTCTTTTCTGGTTCGGTTATCCCTCCCTGCCCCCTTCTTCCAGGGACCGATCCTGCCCCCGACCATCCAGGTTCGAGTTCGAGTTCAGGATAAACTTTTCCTCATCCCTGTCCCACACAGGTAAGGTGTCTCCTGCCCTTTCCCAGCCCCAGCTCCCTCTATGCCCCTGTGGGCCCTGCCTGGAGGTAGTAGCTGAAAACCCTGGTGTTTGCGTGTCGGGTGGGATGCGTCATCCTTGCTGGCCTGGGGACCTGGTAGCTGGGGTGGGGCATCAGGAAAGGTCAGGGGCACAAGCATAGGCAGGGCGCTGGAGGTGGGCTCGGCTGCAAGGGCCATTTGCATCCTGAGCACATTGCGGGGAGAAGGAGCCAGACTACGGAGCTTTCACCCAAGCATGGATGACAGGACCCTGGGGCATTTCCTCAGCATGTGCAGGGACCTGGCCAGGTCCAGAGCTCAGCATGCCCCCTGTTCCCATAGCAAGGAGGCCCACTCTGTGGCCTGGCTGGCTGAACAGGCCACCCAGCGCTACTACCAGGCCTGTGGGTTGCTGACAAGGCTCACCCTGCGAAAGGAGGGGGCCCTACTGGCCCCACATGATCCCATCCCCGATGTGCTACAGAGCAATGACGAGGTAAGTGGCGGGAGCCAGGGCCCTGAGTGTCAGGGTCATCCCTGGTGCTGAGTGTCCTCAGGGCTGCCTGCCAATGGTGCTTTCCAGGTATTGGCTGAAGTGACCTCGTGGGACCTCCCCCCACTGACTGACCGTTACCGTAGAGCCTGCCAGAGCCTGGAGCAAGGTAAGGGCCCAGGAGGCCCGCACTGGCCTGGGTAGAGGGGGTGGGCATGTGGACTTCACCTGTAACTGCCACTCCCAGGTCTCCAGGTATCCACCACACCTGTCCTCAGGTTTTCCTCCCCGAGTAGTGCCCACATATATGAGCAGTGTGTGGGGTAAGATGGCTCCATGTGAAAGTGGGACCTTGTAGAGACCCCAGAACCTCAAGGCTAGGCCACACCTGTCTGGGTTAGGAAGTTTGGCACCACTGGGAGACTCTAGGCTGAAATGTGGGGAGGGCCTGATGGGGCAGATACAGGTCAGCACTACCCACAGGCTTGGAGTATAGGTGGGTTCAAAAGTGAGGAGGGGGTGTGTAGGTTTCACAGGGCAGACAGGCAGGCTCTGGCCCTGGTGACACCACGTCTCCTTGCAGGGGAGCACCAGCAGGTGCTGCAGGCCATGGAGCGACAGGGGGTGAGCCCCTTGTTCAGCGCCTGCTCCCTGGCCCTGCACCAGGCCCAGCTCACCCCCTTGCTTCGGGCTCTCAAGCTGCACTCAGCGCTCCGGGAGCTGCGTCTGGCAGGGAACCGGTTGGGGGACGGCTGTGCCACTGAGCTGCTGGCTGCCCTGGGCACTATGCCTGGCCTGACCCTCCTTGACCTCTCTTCTAATCACCTGGGCCCTGAAGGCCTGTGCCAGCTTGCCTCAGGCCTCTTGGGACAGGCCACCTTGCAGGTAAAAGCATGGGGAGTAGCAGGCCAGAGACAGGGTGACAACAGACCATTTGCATTTGTCCAGGCACCGGTGGGAAGGTATACCTGGGAGTGCTGGCTAGCACCCGGCTCTGGGACAGCAAGGACACCAGATCCTATGGGGGAGGCATCTGTCTTTCCCAGAATTTGGAGGAGCTGGACTTAAGCATGAACCCCCTCGGGGATGGCTGTTGCCAGGCCCTGGCCTCTGTCCTGTATGCCTGCCCTGCGCTCAGCTCTCTGCACCTCCAGGCCTGTGGCTTTGGCCCCGGTTTCCTCCTGAACCACCAGGCAGCCCTGGGCCGTGCTTTCTTAGGTGAGCTGACCACACATCCACTCCCTGGCCCCAGGGTTCCAATTGCTATCAGAAGGGTGTGTCCCGGGGCTCAGAGAACCTTGAGCAGGAGGGGCCCTGGGGCATCAGCCTGGCTTCTGGACACATGTAGGCAGACAGACATGGGTGCTGGACCTGCCTGGGCTCAGGGGCATCTGGTACTTGCCCAGCCTGGGCCGTATCACAGGGCAGAGTCCCAGCTCCACTGTTCTCACCAGCTCAGTTCTGTGGGCCTGAATCATCCCACTGTAAGCCCAGCAAGGCTGCAGAGAGCCAGGGTCTCAGTACTGAGGCTGGGAACTGGTGGTCCCCCAGAGGGCCTTTCTGCAGTGGTGATGTAGTAGGAACTGAGGCTTGGGGCTGTGAGCAGCAACTGAGCAGGGGTCTGGGGTTAGAGCAGCAGAGGGAGTGTTCCCCGACCCCATTCCACCACATCCTGCCCAGGACCTGCCTATGTCAGGCAACCTGGGTATCCTGTTGTGGGTCAGGGCAGGCAGAGGCCAGAAACAGTAGAGAGAAGCTGAGCTCAGGAGTCTGGCCCACCCCCTCCCCAGCCAAGAGACCTGGACAGGAACAGCCTGTTTCCCTGTGCATGAAGTTGTAAGGGTGATAGCCTCCCCAGAGGGCTTGTAAGGGTTCTGAGCCCAGTATTCTGCAGCAGGGCTGGGGTGATGGCTGTGTGGGGCTGATGGAGATTCTGTCCTCTGATTCAGATGCCAAGCACCTGAAGACACTGTCCCTGTCCTACAATGTCCTGGGCATCACTGCCCTGGCCCAGACCCTGCAGAGCTTGCCTGCCCAGACCCTCTTGCACCTGGAGGTCAGCTCCGTGGTGGCCAGCAATTGTGACTCAGGCCTCGTGGAGCCCGTGGTCAGATACCTGACCAAGGTACATGGTTGGGGCCAAACACCAAGCCACAGGAACCCTGGGCCAAAGGTCCCACACCTGAAGCCTGGGGTTGGGGCTGGGAAGAGTTGTAGGTTCTGAAGAACAGCTCTGGGGAAGCTGCCTGCCTCAGGCTGTGAATTCCAGCAGGAAAGGCACTGCTGATCCAGGTGGCCTCCCTTGCTCCCAAGCAGGTTCCAAGGGACATGTCAGGCCTCCCAGTGCTCTCTCCTGGGGGCTCTTCCTGCTAGAGCTGGGTGCTCATGATTCTCACATCACAATATGCCAAGTGTGGCTTACACCTGGAAGGAGGCATTTCCTTCTGATCTGCAAATTGAGGTGGTACCACTACTCTCTGATGCCTCCTTGCTCCCAAGAAAGGGGAAAGGTGTCTGGCTTTCACTGTATGGGACCTCTACTGGGAGGCAGGGAAGGCAAGCACCCACTCACTGAAGCCTTGGGCTTCTCTTTTCTAGAAAGGCTGTGCTCTGGCCCACTTGAACCTGTCTGCAAACCACCTGGGTGACAAGGCAGTAAGAGACCTGAGCAGGTAACACTGCCCTGCCTGTGCCCCCACTTCCTGAGGGGGTCTGATCTCAAGGCCCAGGAGCCTGGGGGTCGGGGGGCACTGGGTCAGGCAGGGAAAGGAGGCAGAGATGGTGCCAGCTCCTCCCTGAGTGTTCCCCAAGCCTGGCCATTGATCTTGGCCCCCTGACAGTGCCCTGACAGCCCTGGAGGAACACCTGTGCCTGTGCCAGGCTGGGGGCAGAACCTACTGGGCCTTGCCTGTGGCTCCCAGAGCTGTGGGTTTGTCTGGGGCAACTTTCCCTAATGATGGGAGTCTCCCTCCCTGGAAACCGACCCCTTCACTTTTTCCCTCATCCCAGATGTCTCCCTCTTTGCCCCTCGCTTGTCTCGCTGGACCTGTCTGCCAACCCCGAGATCAGCTGTGCTGGCCTGGAGGAGGTGCTATCTGCCCTCCAGGAGCGACCCCAAGGCCTGAGCTTCCTGGACCTGTCAGGTGAGCTCTGGGTATGGTAGCCACACCTGCCACACCAGGGCTAGTGACACAGCTTCCTCCACAGGGACCTACCTGAGGCCCAGGTGCCTCCTTTGAAAGGGCAGACACTGCCACCAGCCAGAAGTTAGAGGTGGGCTGGGCCCCCTGAGGCTGACACAGTACAGGACAGGTGTGACTAGAAGGGGGTGTGAGCCAAGCTTCTAAAATGATGGGGCAGGAGGAAAATGGATCTCTGCCTCTCGCCTGTTCAGCCAGCCCCTCAGAGACCATGGGGGGTGGGGGTGCAGGACCCCTTACAAGGAGGCTTCCTAATTCCCATTGTTAAGAGGAGGATGCTCAAGGTAATAGTTGTAAAAGCTGCCACCAAAGGACCTTCCCTATTCTTGGCAGGGGCTGACTGACCCTACCTTCCCAATCTGTAGCTTGTTCTCATTGTGGGCACACCCAGACACAGTACCCTACCAGAGCTGCCTTGAGGATGACCTATGGGAGACCACCTAGCAGCCTGGCACATTCAACTGGAGCCTGGGGCAGGAGAGCCAAGCTTTGCCATCCAGTTTGACAAAGGCTGGGAGTGGGTGTACTCAAGGGGCCCCTGGGGTTCTCCAAAAGCAGGCTGGTGGCAGATTTCACACCTGGCCTCCTGGCATCCACGTCTGCACCAAGGTCCTTGGGGGCCTGAGCCTACTGGGCCTCTAAGGATCAAGCTTAATGTGCCTGAGACTCATTGGCAGTCCTGTTGTGTACACTTTATCAATAGAAAGACCCGGGCATTGTCAGACACTCTCAGATGCACAGATGTGAATGCGGCATTTATTTCAGCCAGCCTCCCTTCTGCCTGACCACTGGCTGTGAAAGTGGCCCAGGCAGCCCCTCTGAGAGAACACATCCCTTCCTAAGAGTGTTCTCCACCTCTCTCTGGCCTTTGCCGGTGGTCCTCACTTTGGTCCTTGGGTCCTCAAAGGAAGTGTTTCTTCCCCAGGGTACATTGGTTGAAAGGAAAGGACCCAGGCTTGGGAGCACCCTGGGGTTGGGGCTCCTGCTGGGCTGCCTGGCTTTACTGGCTGGAGCAGCTCCCTGAGGCCTGCTCCTGCCTCCCCTCTTCAGGCTGTGCTGTCCAGAGTCCCCTGGGCTCGGCCCTCTGGGATAAGATCACTGCGCGGGTACAGGAGCTACAACTTTGCAGCAGGCGGCTCTCCTCGGAGGACCGGACTGCACTGTGCCAGGTGCTACGCAGCCAGCCAGGCGCTGGGGCCCGCACACTGGACCAAGGAGCCAAGCTTTTCTTCCGGCGCCTCTGACAGCTGGGGCCTCCCTGCCCCCTCCCCACATCCCTGGGACCCCAATAAAGGACACTGCTGCCACCCTAGTTGGTTTGGCTCACTGGTTAGAGTGTCCACCCGCGGACTGAAGGATCCCCGGTTGGGTTCCAGCCAAGGGCACGTTCCTCGGCTGCAGGCTCAATCCTCGGGTCTGAGCACCCGAGGGAGGCAACAAATCAACATGTTTCTCACGTCGATGTTTCTCTCTCTCCTCCTCCCTCCCACTCTGAAAAGCAATGGGAAAAAGAACGCTGCTGCCTTCTCACCCTTGCTGCTCCTGCAAGGTGCGCGGGAGACTGTC